TGGCATTTGGCTGGTAAATGAATGGAACTTATCATGCTAAGTGAAATAAGCCAATCCCCCAAAACCAAAGACCTAATGTTCTCTCTGATATGCAGATGCCGACTCACTGAAGGGCTTTGGAGTGGAGGTTCACCAGACTGGGATAGGGGAGGGGGGAGGGGGATGGGAATGGGAAAGACAGTAGAATAAACTAGACATAACTTTCCAATGCTGTAGGGAGCTGCTCTGAATGACCACGCCTTCCAGTCCTGATGCACCAGGCTCTGACCAACCAGTGCATTCATTGTGGCGTGGGCAGTGACCCCCTTGGATAGCAAGGCCAGTCTCCTGAGTAGGCACACCCCTGGGGTTGAGCTATACTCACCTGTTCCTTTGTAATCCTACCCCTCTGTCCTGTTTGGGATAGAATGTTCCGTGGAAACTCCCTTTGTGTGTCCCCTTCTCTTGTTCTGCTTTTGAGCACCACTCCTTAGAGGACAGTCAACCTGCTGACAGCAGACATCAGGAAGCTGGATTCAGTCCCCTGAAACCAGACCCCTTGCCTCATTTGAATGGCTTCTTCCCAATAAAAGGGCTCCACACGTGCTCCCCTCTCTCTCTTTTCCGTAGACCCCTAAGGTCAGACATCACAGACCCACAGAAAGGGGACAGAGTGGAAGCTAGAGACCAGAGGAGGCTGGAGACCAGAGGAGGCTGGGTCGATGGTCCAGGCAGGAGAAGAGGCTGAGCTGGATGGGAACTGGGTGTGGATACGAGAAAAAGTTACTGAGTATGGGAGGCTGGGGGGGCAGGCAGGTGCCAAAGAGCACTTCAGTTTCATTAGAAAATATTAAGAGGAAATGGAAAAATTTCAAACATGCACATAAATAGGGAAACTCACTCACAAACCCATGTACCCATCACTTATCTTCCACAACGAGTCTTCTGCAACTTATTTTTGATTTATTATTGCATTTATATTTAATTAGATTTTTCGGTATCGATTAGGAGTATGTTTAGTGCTTCTTAAAAATGGAAATGATTTCATTGTTTTGGTGGCAAAATTATGCTATCATGTGCTCCTTATAAAGAGTTCATGCCACCCTGAGAATTAAAAAAAAAATTATAAAAATCATCAATCATCCTCCTCCTCCTCCTCCTCCTCCTCCTCCTCCTCCTCCTCCTC